GCTGCGCAAGAAGGGCCCCACGGCCGCACAGGCCAAGTCTAAGCAGGTGCCCAGCCAGTGGGGGGCGGCGGGAAGCTGCTGGACCGCGCGGTGGCCGAGCCGGGGGAATCCGGCAGTGGGTGGGGACCCGAACGGAACGGACAAGGGTGGGGACCTTGTGGGACAACAGGTGGGGACGGAGTAGGGAAAAAGACTGGGGCAGAGGGCAGCTGATCTGGGCGAGGCTGGGACAAGGGTCAGGGGTTGGGGGATGGGATGTGACCTGAGCTCTGGACTGGGACAGGCCTGGGTGGGGACCTGGATGAAGATGGAAACAGAGTTCAGGACAGGTACAAGAGTAGGTCAGAGAACCTGGCTAGTCACGAAATGTAGGGTGAGGAGCAGGGGCATTAGGCACAGGAGTCTTGGGAGCCGGGGCAGGGGCAGTCTTCTTGCTGAAGGTTTTGTCCGTACCTGATATCAGCTTGTGCTGGCATCGCTGGTGGCTTGGTGCCCAGGTGATCTCAGCCTATAAAGAGTACTGTCTGAGGCAATGGTGGTCTCCTGTGGCCTAGTGCCCTCTCCACTTTGCTTTCCTTAGCCCTGAGTGCTGTGGTACCTTGAGAAGTAAGTACTGACCAGCTTTGGTTTAGTTGCTGCATAGTCAAAGCCAAATTCACAAGCCTTTTCAAGGGAACGTGGAGTCATCACAAGTGTGTAGAAAGTCTGAACATATTACACAGAGAATGGCTTACAAGCCACTTTGCCGAAACATTATGTTACTGTTAGTGGTCCTGTCTCCAGGGAGACTGCAGGGTTCTGCGGGGTATGTCATCTCTCACTAGGAGCCCTACTAGCCGAGGAAGCCAGACCAGCATTCCATTCTTTCCTGCTTTGTAGCAGAGTTTGGAAAAGGAATAGCTCTATTTTCGATAAAGAACCTGTTAGCCTTTATGTATGTTTGTATAGATGTGTATAAACATGTATCCATACACACACATACGTAACTTATTTATTGTGGTGCTGATATCGAATCCAGGACCTTGTGTATTTAGTACTAAACAAGTCTTGCCCTGTATCTGACACTGGCCTGGATTCCCATCTGAGCCTCCTGAGTGCTAGGATCACTGTCGTGTGCCACCATACCCAGCTCAAGCCTGTCTAGTGTAGAAGTGAGTTGGTTCTTTTAGAGTGGTTTAATGTACATTATTTGGGTAGTGAGGGTTTTGTGTACAGTGTCCCTCTTTCTTTGGGGATACATTCTGAGGCTGCTCAGTGGCTGCCTGGAACTGAGTTGTACTGGATCCTGTATATACTGTGTTTTTCCTACTCATATATAACCGTGATAGAGTTTATAAATTGGGCACAGGGAAGAATAGTCCTAAGGTGGAGAGGTGGCTGGGAGTGGTTAAGAGTGCTTGCTGCTTGTGCAGAGGACTTGGGTTCATGTCCAGGCATCGACATGGCAGTTCACATCTGTCAGTAAGTTCAGTTCTAGGGACCCAGCATCCTCTTCTGGTCTCTGGGGGCACTGTGTGCATGTGGTACATAGATAGACATATTTACAGGCAAACACTCATACATATAAAATAAAGATAAATACATTTTTAAAAAGCCAGTTGTAACTAATGGTTGGGAAAAACAGTGCACTGTAGTCAGAGTTGTGCAAATGTGGTTTCTTTCTTAGGGTCCTGCACTCACCCCTCTTTTAGGGATGGTGTGAAATGATATAGTATCTAAATAATGCCCTAGAGTGATGTCAGTCATATAGCTATTGTTAAGGTAGCATTAGGCTCCTACATCATGATTTCTTGACCATAAAGTCTGTTTTGATGCCTTGGCGGTTATCTGCTAACCAAAGAGGTTGTTGGGGGGGGGGTACTGGAGAGATGGCTCAGTGGTTAAGAGCAGTGACTGCTCTTCCAGAGGTCATGAGTTCAATTCCCAGCAACCACATGATGGCTCACAACCATCTGTAATGAGATCTGGTGCCCTCTTCTGGTGTGTGAGTATATATGGAAGCAGAATGTTGTATACATAATAAATAAATAAGTCCTTAAAAAAAAACACAAAGAGGTTGTCAGGTAGAGGAGTAAGAGGCAGCTAGCATGCATAGCATGTACGTACGTGGACAGAGTCATGGAGTGGGGCTGGTATGAAACCAACACACTTTTCAGAACATATAACATTTTAAAATTATGAATTATTTGTTATATGGAATTTAATGTTTTGGAACTAAAGCTGACTGTGGATCAAGCAAACATGGAAAGTAAAACTAGAGTGGGGTGGGGGCAGAGGACACTCTGGGATGAGGTTGGGTTGTTTCAGCCAGCAGTATGTATCAGTCCTTTAAAAGTGAGCAGCATGCAGTTGGCAAACAGCTGCCCGAATTGTGCCCCACACTCCCCCAAAGCTCATTTTGATTGAAAACCACTTTCTGGTTTTCTAGGCCATCTTAGCAGCTCAGAGACGAGGAGAAGATGTGGAGACATCCAAGAAATGTAGGTACTCAAAGTTTCCACCCGCAGAGCCAGGATGTGCTGTGGGATGGCTTGCCTGATGGTATGGTTGGGCAGTGCCCTGGGGACCTGTCAGTGAGTGTAGCTCTGGGTGGTGTGAGCTCCGCAGGGACTGTTAACTTCTCACTGCTGTGGGAAGATTGAGATTGAGGGCTCTGAGGTCCGTGAAGTCCAGGTCAGCTGGGCCTGGGACCCTGTCAGTCTGGTTTCTCCTGTGCTCAGCGCAAACTGACTCTGCTCTGCTCTGCTCGCATTGCCTCCAGGGGCTGCTGGCCAGAACAAGCAGCATTCCATCACTAAGAACACGGCCAAGCTAGACCGGGAGACAGAGGAGCTGCATCACGACAGGGTGACCCTGGAGGTGGGCAAAGTGATTCAGCGGGGCCGGCAGAGCAAGGGCCTGACGCAGAAGGACCTGGCCACGGTGAGGCTCTTACAGCTGTGGAGTGGGGACAGGCGACAGGTGCTTAGACAGTATAGGGAAGGTGGGCTCACTGTACAGCTTTGGGACCTTACCCTAGCACACCCCAAATCCTCTGGGAAAGCCAGGCCAGAGAAGCTGTAGCTCTTTTTGTACAAGACTCGTTTGTATGGGGGTACCAGGGACCCCAAAGATGGCTGCCTGTGGGTACCTCGCCTGGATTCTGCAGCACATCTTACTGAACTAGTATGGCTAAGGTGCATCTTTTCTTCAGAAAATCAATGAAAAGCCGCAAGTCATCGCAGACTATGAAAGTGGACGGGCCATTCCGAATAACCAGGTTTTGGGCAAAATTGAGAGAGCCATCGGTGAGTGTCTTCCCTAGCAGTCTTGGACAAGGCATTGCCCTTCTGTAAGGGGTGGCGAGGGCTGAGATGGCAGAACCCTGTCTTCTTGAGGCCAAACTACTAGAATCCTGCCTAAAGGTTTGAGACTTGGTGGGACTCCAGAACCCTGAGGAAATGGGGACTTGGGTCCTTCTATTGCTGACATCCAGCCAGCACACATTGTTCTCAGGGTGCCTACATGGCACATGGCTTACCTCTGCAGTGCACCTCCATGAGGCCCAATGCAGTGTCCAGTTCTTCTGGAACAATACATCAAGATGTTTGTCTTCTCATCTTTTTAGATTTTGTTATTTTTATTTATTTATTTTTTCTGTCTGTCCTGGAACTATGTAGACAAGGCTGGCCTTGAACTCACAGAGATCTGCCTGCCTTTGCCTCCTATGCGCATTAAAGGCGTGCACCACCACGTCTGGCTTAGATTTTATTTTTTATGTAGAGTCTCTCTGTAGCTCAGGCTGGCCTCAAACTCACACCAGTCCCCCTACCTCAGTCTCCTGAGCTCTGGGATTGCTGGTGTGGGCCACCATGGCCAGCCTGGCCCACACTCAGATGTGCTGTCAGATGTGAAAGCCGCCCTCTGTGTGGAGGCTTTGTGAGGCGAGTGGATGACGGGCAGCTCGAGCAGAGCAGGGAGGTTGGGAAGGTGCAGGACGCTGCAGAGTGGTCAGCATCTTGCTGGCTCGTTTCAGGCCTCAAGCTCCGGGGGAAGGACATCGGGAAGCCTATCGAGAAGGGGCCGAAGGCGAAATGAACACAAAGCCTCGAAGCCAGTGGTTCCGGCTGAGCTCTTCTGGCTGGTCCCCCAGGACCACCAGCACTGCCGTGGGTCTCCTCACATGGTCAAACGGAACACGGGGGTCAGGCCTGTGTGCCCCCTCAACCCATACCTGCTGTCAAACAAAGCAAAACCTTGCAAAGTGATAGCCTCTTGGCTTTTTCCTCCCTGCCTTCTGACCTCAGCAGGGGCGCGGACTTGCACCTTCTGTCCCTTGGACAGCTGGCTGCAGTGGGGAGTTCAGTTCTGGGAAGTTAAAGAACTCCCTGGAGTTCTGCTGGAGAGAAGCAGAGCCTAGCATTCTGCAGTCCAGTTCTCTCTTCACTGTAGACACGGTTGTGGGGGACAAAAGCACGCATCCTTCACGGTAGATACCTCACAGGGACCTGAGGAATTTGAAAGTTCTTTCCCTGTCTTCTCAGAGAAGTGGGCATCAGTCAGCCCTGTGACACCTGAAGATACAGGGTGGTACCATGTCCCACCACTTTTCCCATGGAGCTGGGTTTTGGACAGACAGAAGCCTAGCTTGGAACATACGGTATCTATGGCAAGGACAGGTTTCCTTGGACAGGAAAGGAGCTCCTGATTGCTGAGGTGTGGGTGTCCATGCCCCTTCCCTGAGGGCCCTTAGTCCTCAGTGAGGCCACAGTGGAGGCTTATGTGGAAGATAGCACTTCAGAGACCGTTCCTGGAACAGGTGTGGCATCAGCACATCACCAGGATCCTGGTTCAGGGTGGCAGCCCCAGATCTGTTCTCACAGATCTTTAGTACAATCCTGCCTTGAGACATGATGGTCATATCCACTGACCTCAGCGCCACCACCTGCAGCCCTAGGGCTGTTCAGGCTTTTATCTGAGGTGGCATTTCTCCTCACCACACCAGTTTCATGGTACCGTGTCCAGTTGCTTTTACACCCCCATTTTCCTGCATCTGTGGGGTGATCACATCCTCAGTGGGTACAAAATCACCTGGTAAATTAGAAGCAGAGCCCATTCCTTGCTGGCTAAAGTGGTGAGTCCTGTAATTTCTGAGCTGCACCAAAGGCAATGCGGGGGCTCCACAATCACTCTCTGAATGTTGTCTCGGGTCTTGAGCCCTGGGAGGGGACATATCCTGCCAAGTACAGTGTGTATGAAATGCAGTCTGAAAGCTTGGGTTGCCCTCACTGGTGAAGAACATTTATTCACAGTCCTAGGATCCGTCTACCCTGACCACACCAGAGGAAGAGCTGTAGAAGCTAAGTATGACCCAATCCCTACATCCAGGCCCAAATGGAGGAGGTCAGGCATCTGAGGGCTGAATGCTGTGGGAGTTGGCACGAGGAGCCAGGCCTTGTCTGATTGGTGAGCTGCTGGTGATGGATTCTGGGAGGGTAACTTGATCCTAGGAAGGAGGAATATTGGACAACTGCCATTGAAAGGCATCCTGGACCTGGACAGGTAGGGCAAGGTGCCTCTTTCCGAGTCCAGCCCACCACTGCTTGCTTTCCCATCATCAAGCATGGAGGCAGAATCTCCCACTTGCCCACATCTGGGGGGTTCCTACCGCATTGAAGAGGATATTGTCAAAACCAGAATTTGCTGTATCCGTACTCCTCTGAAAGGAGGAGCGCTGCTTCTGTAGCCAGCGCCAACCCCCAAGGCCCAGGAGCACCAGGAACACGAAGAAGAGAAGGGCCCCTCCAACAGCAACGGGTACAGACACAGCTGCTGCCATTTCACCTGAGGGCAGAGAGGGCACTTGGGTTCTCCAAACAGCTCCCAGTCCTGTGTCAGGGTTCTGTTTCCAGGACTACTGGCAAGGAATGAGCCTGGGCTGCCTAATGCCTCCAGCCCTTGTTCCTCTGTCAGCACAATACTGCAGAGCTGCTCCACCTCTTCCTCCCAGCATGACGGCAGCCAGTGACTGCCGAACACAGGCCCCATTGTGGTCTCCAGCTTAGCCTGGCAGCTCCTTCAAGACAGTTCTTGCACAAAAGACAGTGAAAGCTGGTGCAGCCCCTATGTACAGCCCACCCTACCCTACGTGGGTATGGTTCTGTGAGGCATAAACAGTCCTGGTCCAGCTGGTTTCCTGAGCTGGGCACAGTACTTGCAGCCATCTGAGCCACCAGTCTAAGCTTAGCAGGTTCTGGACAAGTGTGGCCATCCTGGGGCCCAGTGCTTACCCTGGCTAGGCGCAGGCTGCTGGCAGTGCTGTCCTGCCAAGTACTCCACATCATCCAGGGCAATGGGCCCCAGAGCTGGCTGGCCACCCAGAGTGGCTTCAAAAACAATCTGATGGGGAAGGGAAAGCTAATGAGTATCTGCAGGGACAGAAGAGAGGGAAGGGAGGACAGCTGCCCTGGGAACTCACCTGGAACTCCTCCGAGCTGGACACTTGGATCTGGGCTCGTATCCACTGGTGCCGCAAGTGCCCTCCCTGCCTCCACACAGCTAGCTGGCCTCGGGCACTGCTCAGAAGCACTCTCAACTCGCCCTTATCTGAGAGCAGGGACCAGGGCAGGTCAGCTCAGGGTCCTGGAGGATACCTTTGTGCCTAACCTGAGCCCCAGTTCCCCTACACCCAGGACCCAGCCACTCACAGAAATGCTCAGGAAAGCCCATGTAGTACCAGAAGTGGAGGCAGGAGGCTGTGGTTGCTGGCAGTGGCTCACTGCGCAGCCAGGCTGCTTGGCCCCCAGGACCTAGCACGCTGGTTTCAAAGAAAGAAAAGTGGCCTGGAAATGAGAGGGTGGGATGTGCAGGCTCGCTTGAAGTGATGGGCTCTAACTTGAGGAAAGTTGGGTGAACACAGCCCAGGTCCCACTACAGCCAGTGCGCACCTGCCTTTGTACCCAGGGTATGGTCCACTATGGGTCTGGGGTAGCGCGATGGGGTGGCTCCACTGCTCCAGTCCCAGCTGTACCCACCTAGGCTGGGCCAAGCCAGGTGACTCCACCCACACAGGCCAGATTCAAAGTCACAGGATCCTGCAAGGAACTAACAGGTGAGCAGAGCTGCCCCAGTAAGCATCACTGTGCCTGGCAGGGCCAGATGGGGCAAAAACCAGAGAATTGCTTTTGGCATAGATATGCAAGCTGCTCACCTGACTGAGCACAGGGTCCATCTCGGAGGAGAAGGTCATCCAGAGCCATGTAGGAATGCTCCACACCTGCGGCAACAGCCTCAAACACTACCTACAGGGTGCCGAGCCATAGATCATGCAGGCTGGTCTAGCAACTCTTGAGGATGACAGGTTCCCTCCCACCCAGACACTCACCCTCCAGGCCCGCTCAGCCTGCACATTCACACTGCCCAGACGCCAGGCAAATCCACCATGGGCACTGATGCTGAGCTCCTGACGCCTTGTGCCCTCTTCCACGTGGACCTTCAGGGTGCCTACCCAACGAGAACCAGCCAGATTAGCTGGGGGTTCCCCAGTTGTGGACAGGGGCCCTTCTCTTTCCTATAGCCCCTCACCTGGGTTATGAAGGCTAAAATGGTACCAGAAGGTCAGGCAGGCAGGCTGGGTCAGGGGCTGGTGCTCCTCTGAGGTCAGAGAGGCCACATGACCCTTGGGCAGTACATTTGGGCTGGTGTCCACCACCATGTAGTTCCCTGGGGGAAGGAGACCAGCATCAGCTTGCTTTCCCCTGGCCAGTTCTTTGTACCCCCACCCCAGTCAGAGTAGTACCTTGGGCTGTTTCTGTGGTATGATCTATCCAAGGACCCCAAGGAGCATGGCCTGAGGCATTACTCTGGCGCTTCCACAGCCCTAAACCCTCTGGAGAGAAGCCGCAGTCAGAGTCTTCAAAGGAACAGCTCTTGGGGGCCCAGCAGGGGCCTGGCCGCACAGCTATGTCATCCAGGGCCATTGTGCCACGGTACCCGTCCCGGAGGCCTTCAAACAGCAGCTGAGGGTAGAGAGTGGTAATTGGCGGGGGCCAACCCTACACCATCTACCAAGTGCCAAGCTCACCCTCACCTGGTACTTGGTTCTGGCCTCTAGCTGGTGGTGAAGAGTGACCCAAGCCTGGTGCCAGCGGTTGCCATGGGTGCCCAACCTGGACCACAGTAGTGTGTCTTCCTCCCCATCCTTCCTCATGGCCAGGCGCAGTGTCCCTGAAGAGGAGTGGAGTTCAAAGGGGAACAGCCCCAACTCGTGGTGCCTCAGGCTGCAGTGGGCACCAGATCCATCCAGATGGTCTAACAGCTCTGAGACTCACCAATCTGGGGCCCATACAGATGGTACCAGAAGCTGAGACATTCCTTGGGGGCAAGCGGCACCTGGGGTCTTGTAAGCAAGAGAGCGCCTTGTCCACGAGCAGGTGGGTCTGTGGGATCCAGGAACATGAAGAAGCCTACAAGGGATAAAAGGCTGAGCTGCAGGAATGCTCTCAGTTTGCGCTCCCCTCCCAGGCCTCAGAGACCACGGGAACTCCCCTACCTTGGCCAGTGGTGTGGTCATACTCAGAGCCATGGCTTTTTACACGGTGCCAGTGAGCATCTGTGAGGTGGCCCGTGTGCCAGCTGCACGAGTCCCGTTCAAAGTTACAGGAGACCTCTGGGAGTGGGGTGGGGTTGGGTGATGTCAGCACTCGCCCCCCCCATTCCCAGCTGTGATAAGAATTAGATTGACTGGGTGGAGATGGGAGGTGGGCAGGAGAAACCTTGGTCACTCTCAGTGGTCACCGTGGGGTCGCAGTCTCTCAGGGTCACATTATCCACCCCAGCCCTCTGCTGGCCAGGGCCATCCAAGTCCACCAGACCGACGAACTCCAGCTTAGAGCAGGTAGAGGGAAAGGACCGTAAGCAGGGGCAGGCTCATTACAGATCCCCATTCTGGACTGCTATCCTCACCTGGAATGGTCGATGGCGTGCCCCAAGAAGAACCTTCTCCACCGTCCATCCCCCGCTGCTGCTGCTTGGGGCCTGCCACACCAGCTCCCGGAAGCCATTTTCTACCACAACCAGTGCCAAGAAACCTGACCAAGGGAGTTTGTACGGGCGGGTCACCCTCAGACCCCGTCCACATGCAGGTGGCTCCTGGGGCCGAAAGGCATGCAGTACCTTGGGGATGACTGTGAAAACGGTAAGCCATGTGGAGTTCACAGCGAGGACCAGAGGGGCCCAGGGCAGGTGTGAGAGCCCGGGCCTCAGATCTTAGCTGCCCCCAGGCCTTCTGCAGAGACAGGAAGTGCCCTATGGGAAAAGCAAGGTACCCCTCACTGCTCTGGCATCCCTAATTTACACACTCTCTAAAAGGGAGCTCCCGTGGGAAAGTGGTCTCACCAGGAACATCCCAGCTGGCATCCCTGGCAGGCTTTCTGTTCTGGACTTCAACCCGTTGCCACTGCAGCTTTCCTACACTGATGTCCTTCCAGCCCCCGGCAGAGGCGGACTCAAAGTCTGTGGTGCCTGCAACAAGAGTAGCCTGCTCTGGAAGGCAGCAAAGCCCAGATCTCTGGCCTGCTCAGGCCCCCTGCATACGCGGAACCCAGGCTCTGCCTGTCCTCACCACACTCCTGCTCATCCTCGCCCTCGGCGCACTGCTGCTGGAAATCACAGAGCTGCTCCGGGGGCACACACAGCTCTCCACAGGAGAGATGCCCTGGCTCGCAGGCTTTCTGGGGCAGCCTGATGGATGCCTGGGGACAGAACATGATGACTGCAGAGTGGAACAACTGGAGCAGGACTGGGGCCGGGATGGAGTGGGTGAGGACCTGGCTTTACCTGGGCAGGCCAGGGGAGGGCCTTGGGCATATCACTGGGAGCAAGTCTGCAGTAGTTGGACATGATGAGGTCATCCAGACCCACAATGCCTCCTGGACCAGTCTCCCCAGCTAGAAGGATCTGAGGACAGGAAGGGCTCAGGGAGGGTCAAGCATTATTCTGTCCCGTCATCTTTCTGATACTAGCCCCTGCCCCCCCTGCATGGTTCACTGCTGTACTTCATAAATTGCCAGACACTCTCAACCTCTCCCACTGAGCAGCCCTCAAGAGTGACGATAAAGCATGCCATGTTCTCCTGTGCATGCTCTAGCAGGGTTCCCTGGATCCCAACCCCAGATCCCAGCCTCACTCGGAATGGGTGGGCACTCTGAATGTCAACCCGGTCTCTGACCCAGGCTGTCCCCAGCTCTCCATGATGGCTCCGCAGGAGGACAGGAGTCTGGGTGGTGTTGAGCCCCTGTGCCTGCAGGAACAGCTGGAAGCGGCTGGCCTCAGACCCATGCAGGTAGTAATAGAAGGTGAGCTGAAACAGAAGACATCTCTGGCTACCAGGGCCCTCTGACATCTAAACAATCAGGAAGGGCAACCCCATGTGTCTCTTATTGTTTCGCATACCCATCTTACCGAGCAGTTGTAGGGGACTGAGGCTTGGAACTCAGGGCTAAAGAGGACAGCAGTGGTGCCAGGCTTGGCCACAGAGACTAGGAAGAACCCTGTGAGAGAGGGCAAATGTGGGCCAGGGTCATTGGGAGACAGATGGATGGACAGGGCCATGTCCAGGGTCCCTTGGAGACCTCACCATATGCACTGTTCCGGCTGTGATCTCGGTGGGGCCAGGCAGGGCTCACCCTGCTGCCAGCACTGCAGTTCCGGGTCCAGCTCTCCAACTGGTTCCATGGTCCCAGGCCCGTCTCAAAGTCAGTGGCCATGTGGTGGCCTAAGGAGAGTGGGGTCGAGGCGTTATCAGGGCCACTGAGCAGGACTTCATGTAGTCAGATGGCCCTGGGGGAGACACTGGCTGTCCCATCCGGAATGGCTATGCCCATGTCTGCTTTCCTGGACTAGCCCCAGTGTTTTTTGAAGGACCCAGAGATCAAGGTCCAGCCTCCCGGTCTCATTCTGTAGTCCCTCACCCTGCCCAGCCCTGGATGGCCCCAGCCTCACTGCAGATGAGCAGGTCTTCGTCAGATCTGTCCCCACAGTTGTCTTCGCCGTCACAGAGCTGGTGGGGCTCCACACAAGCCTTGTTCTGGCAGTGGTGCTGTCCCAGGGGGCAGCTGGCCTGAGGGACTGGGGTGGGAAATAGTTAGGGCACTGTGGACTCAGGGAGGTGAGCAGTGAGGGTCTCCCAGCTTTGGGCAGGGTGAGGTACAGTCTTACCAGGCAGCCCACAGTCCCGGAACTCCACATCATCCAAGGCCACGGCACCCCTGTGTGTCGCATTTCGGGTGGCAGAAAATGTCACCTGGAAAAAGGAAGGGTCCTTAGGATCTAGGCCAGTGCCCAGAACCTTCCCATGGTCCCCAGCCTGGAAGACCACCCAGCTTACTTTGAAGTCACCCTGGATACGACCAGTGTTCACTACCAGCCGCTGCCAACCAGGACCCCAGGGTCCCGAGCTCTGCCACAGGGTCAGTGTCTCCACACCATGAATCAGCTCCAGTCGCAGCTCAGCAGCATCTGCAGTGTTTGAGTGGTCCTGGGGCGTCTTCAACCCCCGGTGCCTCCCTCCCGTCCACCAGCTGTACCCTAGCCCTCATCCTGGAGTATCCTCCTGTTTCTATAGACCCCTTTCCTTGCCCAGCCTACCCCCAGAGCCACCTGGCCCCGAACCTTAGGGATCCACAGCACGCACCTTGAGAAGCTGTGTGGTACCAGAGCCTCAGTTCACAGGTAGGGGCTGCCTCACGCATGACAGGGGAGCGCAGAGTGGCAGTGGCCGCCTCCTTCCCATGGTGGGTTCCCACAGCCATGTACCAGCCTGGCCCAAGGTGAGAGGTTAGGCAGCCAGACAGGAAGACAAGCCAGGAGGGTGATGGGAGAACAGGATGCATGCACAGGGATTCCCTAGGCGTTACCCAAGTCAGTGCCATGTGTGTGGTCAGAATGAGGCCCGGGACCATCCAGCACTGCCCCTGCCCGGTCTCGAAGCCAGCTGTAGCCAGAGGTGCTGATATCCTGCCAGCCACAGGGGTCCTGCTCGAAGCTGCAGGCGAAAGGGGTACTCGGGGAGGTCGAGGCACCGTGGAAACCTACGAGAATGAGTGCTCAGGGGTCTGCCTTTACACCGCCACTCCCTGCCCCTCCCACCTGACCAGCTCACCACATTGGGCTTCGTCTGAACAGTCTCCACAGTCACACACAAAGTTGCATACAGCTTCGATGGGACTTCTGCAGTGGCTGGGGACCCAGGACTTGCCTAAGGACTGTGCAGCTGGCAGAGTAAGAGCCATGTGAGGGGAGGGCAAGGGGACTGGCTGCTTTTAGTTTTTAAACACACACACACACACACACACACATATGTATGTATGTGTGTACATATATGTGCTGTGCAACAGGTGTGGAGGTCAGAGGACAACTGAGGTGGGAGCCATTTATTTCCTTCTACCATGTGGGGCCCAGGGACTGAACAAACGCCATCAGGCTTGACAGCAAATGCCTTTACCTTCTGAGCCATCTTGCCAGTCATGAGTGGCCATTTTGAGCAGTATAAATTCTATGTACAGAGAAACCCCAGACCTGACTGACTTCAGGGTTAAGCCCTATGAGATCACATAGAGAAGAACCTGGCATCTACCAAGAACTGTCACTGTGTCTCTACATCAAAAGCAAACAAAATGCATTCCCCTTCCAAGTCCCACAGAGCCCCTGTATGCCAGGGAGGGGGAAGGGCTCTTAACAAGAAACACCCCATATGGAAGGCACAGGAGCCCACATGACTAGGAATTGGAAGTGCTTCCAGTAAGTAGGGTCTCCCCCGCTCCCCAAGAAGATATACCGAGCTGGGTGGTGGTGGCGCATGCCTTTAATCTCAGCACTTGGGAGGCAGAGGCAGGCCTGGTCTACAAGAGTTTGTTCCAGAATAGCTAGGACTGTAACACAGAGAAACCCTGTCTCAAAAAACAAAAACAAACCAAACCAAAACAAAGACACACTGAAGATGGCCAAGGAACTTCCACATGTTCCACAATGGGAAAGTGGCAGGCAAAGGCTCTCAGAGAGCTGGGTAGATGGTCACCTATGATGGCCCGTGGCCTCTCCTCTAGGACAAGGAGATAAGACTTACAGGGGCAATGTCCAGCCCAGCTGGCTTGTCTTGGATGCCCCCATTGTAGACAACTGCTTCTGACAAGTTCCTGTATCTGCCGTGACACCAACTGGTGTCCAGGCAGCAGTTTACTTACCCATAAACAGGGCCAAGGTTGAAAGGAGGTGGCGAGGCAGGTGCATGGCCAGGCTGGAGGGAGGATGTCCCAGTGGTAGTGAGGCTATGTAGCCTAGAGGAGCCTTTACTCAGTTTTCAGTCTACAGTGGCCTCACAGGCTGACTTAGCTCTCACTGGAAAGGGCTCAGTTCCTTTATACCTGCAGCCCCTCGGCTGGGTCCCATCCAATGATGACAGGCCGAGCATCCGGCTGTAAAAGTATCTCTAGAAGGGGGCCCCTGCTTGGCTCTTTCTGACCAAAGGTCAGGTCATGGGCATCCTGTGCATCCACCCAGCCCTGCCCTGCCCTTCCCACTGCAAGTTTCTATTGGAATGTGAAGAGGCTGGGGACCCCACTTGCAAGGCTCTAAGATTCTTGGATTGGGCCTTCGGCCCCGCCCTGGTACAGGCCAAGGATGTCAGGGCAGTCAACTCAGTGGCTGCACATGGCTTCCTCCACTCTGTGCTCAGGGGATCAGAGCAGGACAAGTTCAGCATCAACAGCCTGCCTCTGTGGACCAGAACGAGTCCCACATCAGGATACCACCTGCAACTCAAGCTGTGTCATCCTGCCAATATTCTGGTGTGTGTGTGCACACGCGTGTGCGTATGTGACAAGGTCTCATGTGGTTGCCCTGAACTTACTATGGGGATAACTTCTGATCCTCCTGCCTCCACCTCTCAAGTACTAAGATTAAAGATGTCTTTGCCACACTTAGTTCATGCAGTACTCCAGATTGGACATGGGGATTTTGTGTATACTAGGCAAGCACTCCAACCAACCGAGCTCCATCTTTAGCCTCCTGTTCGCCTTCAAAACCTGTCCTGAGCAGACATGTGCTAGGTGGTCCACGATAGGAAAGTCTGGATGAACACACAAGCTCATTTTCCCACAGCTGAGGCAGGAGGGATGTTGGAGTTTTGAAGAGCTTGTCACATGGAGCTAGGCTCTGCGTATGACTCATTTTAGTGTGACCTTGGGGCTTGTCTCACCTGAGCCTGTCTGCTGGCCTCTACAAGGGTATCGCAGTAATGTCTACTCGCAGTCTACAGGGACGTCATGAGCTAATAAAGGCTGGCCCAAGTATGTGGTAAGGGATTCCCCAGCCCTGAGTTTCCCTAGTACCCACTATAATGGCACACTGTGCATTGCGACTTCTTAGAGCAGGGATTAAGCTTGTCCCTACCCACTGTTCTGTTCAGTGAGATTGTATTGGTACAGAGACTTAGGCTCAGGGGGTGTGAATGGCCCAGGGACTAAGACACATATGAGGTCAGAGATCCTGAGTGAATAAGACACAGGCAGTTAGTGTGCAGCCACAGGGTCTTAAGGGTTGTGGGTAACATGATCCTTCCTTGTTGGCTGACCACTGAGAGATATCAGGCTGGGACTGAGAACAGATGGACAATGCAGCCAGCCTATCAGCTAGCCAGCAGAGTGGTACCAGGATCTTTTCCTGCTGGCATTCCTAGAACTACATGAAGGGGGCACCTGTGGGCACCCCAGGCCTTGGGTGGTCAGGAACTGACTTCTTGAGCAAGATCTTGTGGGGCCTCCTCCCAGATGTCCTTGGGGATAGCAGCTTCACGGAGGAGCAATCAGGCCATAAATGGCAGCAATTCAGGGGCCCCTTATCTGAACCCAAAGGGCTGAGTATGCACCAACAGTCCCTAGGGCCTCCTGAAGCTAAGTAGGTATATCCCGGGGCAACCCAAAGGTAGCAAAGCCAAGACACAAGTCAGGGACTAGCAGGCATATCAAAGCTTTTAATTCCTATGGACCAGATTGTTCCGGCTTCCGAGGCCTGGCAGGTGGCGTGTTGCCAAAAGTACAAAAGGAAAGCACGGGGCCAGTCCTTCAAGAGATGGTACAGCAAGAGCAGAGTCCTGACTTAGTTGCTGGGGAGCAGGGCCTCAGTAGCCATCGTCAGCCCAGGTGACCTCATAATCAGGATACTTGGCTTTGATCTTCTCAGTTGAAACCGAGTGCTGGGCACGACCATAACCCTAGAGAGAAGATGACCACTAGTCTGCCTGGTCTTTTGCTTTCTGAGTCCACCCAGCAGCCACAGTACTAGCAGGGAGGGGAAAAGTAACCAAACCCTACCATCCTAACCATGCTGGGAACTGAATGGGCTGGATAGGTGATGCCTGAGGCTTCAGGGTGGTTTTTATGGAAAGAGATGGAGATGGCCAGGGCTTTGAGTTTGACCCCAGCACTGACTGCCCCAAGCCTCCCCGCCCCCAAAGAGCCAGGACACAGATCCATAAGGCTCTAGGATGAGGGAGTACAGCCCAAGGCAGGTGGCTTCCAACCACCCTGATGTCATATGAGAAATGTGGGGGAAAGGAAGTCACAGCCTTAAGGGTTCTGTAGCTTCAACCTTATGAGTCCCAGAGGTGGTCTGAGTAGCAGGTCGGGGAGTCGTGCTCACAAGGTCAGTCTGGCCTAGGGACTGGGGACCAGAGCTCACCATAGAGTAGCCATACACGTGTATCTTCCTGTCCTGGCTTTGATGGGAGATGCGTCCGCCGCCTAGGCACTCACAATCATAGCCATTCTTTTGCAGCTCGCCTGACACTTTGTCATAGATATCCGCTAGGGTGGGGAGAATGGCCTCAGGATATGCCCTAGTCACCCTTATTGGCCCCATAATGGATTCTAGGGCTGGATATAGGGGTTTGAAGCTCCAGGTCTTGGTGGTCTTTTTCCCAGTGGAGATGAGCCCCTCCCCCGCAGGCACAAGAATGAATGGAAGAAGATACTTTCGAAGAGGGAGAGGGGACTAAAATGGGTCCGGTCTCGCATTCCTTTCTGTCCCAAACCCCGACTTTTCTAGGTCAGCTGGCTAAGTGTTAGTGTAAGGCACAGTACATTAGCATTCACAGCTCCGCCACAGCTCCGCCACCAGCAACTGCAAGGTTCAGGCCCCGCCCCTAACCTTCGTTCCACCCCACAGGAGCAAAGGCCCCGCCCTCACCGTGATACTCAGCCCATTTGTATCCACGCACGATTTCCTTGCACTCCTTCGTCGGATCCTCGGAGGGCGATGCTAAGTGGACTCGAATCAGCACGTACTTGAAGACGCCATCTGAGTCGATGTCCACATCAGGAATCTGAGCGAGGTCCGCCGCCATGTTCCCCGGAGCGCTTGGCCTCAGGACCAACCTGACCGAGGCCTTAGCGTGCGGGAGGCGGGCCCTTTGGCAGCCCCGGCCAATCCTGTGAGGGGATGTTTCCCGAGGCCAAGAGCCTCAGCCAGTTGTACTTCTGATCTGAGGCACGGACTAGCCAATTGCAACCCAGCTCTTTGCAGCTTTGCGATCTTGAGTCGCAGTTAAAGGAACTGTGATCAAGGGATATCAGTGATGCTGTAAGTCAAGTTGCTGGAGGTGGGGCAGCAAAAGAGGATGCAGTGACGCACCCCGGCTCCACTCCTGGGTCCTAGGGCTTCAGCTCCCTAGCATAAACCATTAAATCAGAAGTCTTCATTTCCCCAACATCCGTAAGCCGGAGGACCTCTCTCCCGTCCGGCTTCCCCTTCCACAATAACCTCACGTCCAAGGTTTCCGGTTGCCAAGCTTCTACGCCCCAGACGCTCCCCACCACCACCACCACCACCACCACCACAGAGTTAGCAGCAGCTACATTCAAGTTCTATTTTACTTGGTTCGAAAGCATTCGCCCTTTGGAAATGGGCGAATTCTTGCCAGGGGCGTTCTTATCAACCTGCCGCAGGAAGGAATGTGGAGCCCCTGGGGAGGGCGGCAGGCGGTGCGGCAGCAAGTGTTGCAAGAGCGGCATGGGGCAGGTGCTAAGACACAGGCGAAGGTGGGAGCTCTGGGCTGTTCCGGGGACACACAGCCGGGTACGGGGGTGGGGGGGTAGTGACGCATGCGCACACTGCCCACACAGGGAGTTGTCCCAGGCTCTCGCGCTGGACCTCCCTTACCTATGAAGGGGCTTCGGGGTTCCAGAGAGTACTTGTCCAGCTTCTGGTCTCAAGCCTCTCTGGGTCACACCCTCCACGGAGCCCTGGGCTCAGATCCGGGTGCAGTTAGTTCGCAGAGGTTCGACAAGGGACCCAGGGCTGCCCAGGCTTATGGTCTCCATTACACACCAGGCTTTGGCTTCTGCTCCCAGCTTGGAGTTCAGCCAGGGCGAGTGTGCGGCACTTTTGTGCATAGGTTGGACTCAGGTTAAGCCTCAGCACCGGCTCCCTATCGGATCCCACACCGGGTGGCTCACTACTCTGCACCCCAACCAGTCCCTAATTAGGAACAGCCCCTGTTCCTTATTCCCAAGTCAGTCGGCAGGTTAAGTGTTGCTCTTTGTAGGGTCCCCTTCTAATTCATCAGCACCCACTTCCCACCTCCTTGGGAGATTAAGGCCTGAGCTTCCGTCTTCTCTGGAAGGTGGATATTTTAGGGCCATCTTGTTGAGTAGGTGTGGGTGAGCTCAAACCCTCACCCAGCTAGATTTTAACTCTGGCCAGCACACCATCCACACTCTGCTTCCCCATTCCCAGGTTCTCCTCTGGCTGGATGGCTTGTGCCTTGGCCTTGGCCTAAAGACCAAGGTGACCAGAGGTGAGAGCCCTGCCCATTGCCTCAACATCGTAGGGATGCACGGGAGCAAGGCCTCTGAAACCTGACACACCCCAGACACAGGAGGAGGGTTAGCGGAGTGCTTGCTTACAGTAAGGACATTAGGCTTTGGTCAACATGAACTTCTGGACTAGGAGGAGAGGGAATGGATCTAGGATTGGCGAGCTATAGCAAGCACCCACAAAGTATATCAAGTTTGTCCCCATGGGATGTGTGTAGTAGTAACCTTCCACTAGAAGGCAGAGCCCAGTGGTCCTCAGGCCCACCCCACCTCCCAGCGGGGAGCACCGAGGGCGAGGACCGGGCTCTTGGGGAGCCCCCTCTCCCTGGCTGACTTGGGGAGAGCCCAGGATGTAGGTAGGATCTGGGTGGTCTGGTTGAAAACAGGAAGGAAGAGAAGCAGCTGATGGGAAACAGGTCGGCGGTGGTGTGGCGGGGGTGGGCTCCTAGGCAAAGTTTGAGTGGGTGGAGCTCAGGGCAGAGAATTTGTAGAAGACTAAGTTAGGCGGGGGTGGGGTGGGGGGAAACTTGGCGGGGCGCTGAACCAGTTGGTCCAGATTCTGGGGGCGGTCTTGATGGATCAGGCCGGGCCTGAGTAGAATAGGCAGGGCTCTGGTCAGAGCCTGGGCCTAATAGTCCCAAAGCTCACATGATGTCATCTAGCAGATTGGCGCTGGCTACCCAGTCGAGTGCACGCGGCTCGGAAGCAGCCATGATCATGCACATGAAGGGGCGGCCAGTGCGCCGATCGATGGGATAGATGGTGGTGGGTGTGAAGCGCCGGTTCGCCTCGACGAATTCGCAGAGCTGCTCGTAGACGCGTGGGAACTCATGGCGGAGGAAGACGCCGCGCAGACGCAGTTCACGCTGGATGTGGATGAAGGCCACTTCACGTGCGCGCCGGCCCGCCTCACCCTCCTGGTCCAGGCCCGCAGTGCCTGGAGGTGGCGTTAGGATCAGCGTTTCCATATCTGGCTCTCCACCACGCGCAGGAGGAGGCCGCGTCGGACTGCCGGCGGCCAGAGCCACCTTGGCAAACTTGCGCACCGTGGGGCCAGGGCTGCGTGGCGCTGGACGGGCAGCGGCTCCGGGGGGTGCAGCTCCAGGGCCCACGGCCACCGACACACTAAGCAGGAAGCACTCCGCGGGCTCATAGAGCCTCCCGGCCGCCGCCAACTCTCGTGCATAGCTACCCAGGGGTGCCGCATGTGTAGCCAGCTCACGCAATGATAAGTAGGTGGGCGATAGCAGTAGCCCTTCGAGGCCGAAGCGGAGGAAGTTGTCGGCAGAGCCCGGGCTTGGGAAGCCCAAGAACAGCACGCCACGGCCGCGCGACAGGAATCCGACGCGCGCTATCCGGGAGAAGGCGCGATGCACTGGGCTGCTGTCGCGGCAGAACTGCAGCACGTGGCGGCACACGCTGCCCACGCGGCCATACACACAACGCGCTTTGTGCGCATCCCAGTCCTCTCGGCGGCACAGCCGCGAGCAGTAGTAGGTATAGCAGCTATGGCATGACTTGAAGTAGAGGCAGGCGTTGAACATGGTCTCTGTCCGCCGGCAGCGCGCGTTGGAGCAGGTCATCAAGTCATCCTCGTCGGCGCTGGGTTCCGGGGAAGCGTCGGCTGCCTCCCCCGAGCCGGTGGGCTCCTCGGTGCTGCCAGCCGAGGCCGGGGGTGAGCGCGACGGAGCCAGCGCGGTTGCTCCTCCAGGGCCCGCAGACCGTGAGTCCAGTAGGCGGCGCAGTTGGCGGCCTAAACCTTCGGCGGCAGGTTCTGGGGCCTGGCCTGGTGGCCGTGAGTCGATGACCAGGTCGGTGATGAGCTCGTCCAGCTGCTCGAGGCTGCGCTGGCGGCTGGAGGCAGGTCCCTCAGGGACCTTGGGTGTCGGCTGCCGCGGTCGGCCTCCAGGCAGTTCCCAGCCCCTGGCTGTCGGGCGCTCTACTGAGCGCAGGTCATTGTCAGTGATGGTGATCTCCGGCGTGATGTACCAGTTGCGGCCCAGGCTTTCCCCACCACGGCCCTTTTCCGTAAGTGACGTCTCGGACAGCGACAGTGCTGCATAGCGTCTGGGTGAGGTGGATAGGTTCACTACGACTGGTGGACGCCGGCCTTCCGGGGATGAACCCCGTGTATCCCGAACCTCGCGTCCCAGCAGGTTCTCATAGCTGCGGCCGCGTCCTAGAGGGTCTTCACGACGAGGACCAGGAGCCAGGATGTTGTCCCAGGATCGAGAGTAGTGGCGGCTGTCGGTCACCAGCCGGGGCGGGCTTGTGCCGGTGCCACCGTGCCACGAGGCCAACAGAGGTCCAGGGGCGGGAGGAGGCACCACCTGAAGGGTGCGGTAAGGCCTCGGACCCCAATCAGCCCAGGCTGGACTGCTGCGGGGATGCGGGTAAGTGCGAGCCATTACTTCGCGTTCACGGAACCTCCCATAGTCCTCTGTGTAGAAGGTGCGGGCACTGGGGTGTGCCCGGGACTCTTCTGGGACATACCGGGGGACGAAAGGCATTCCGTAGGCTCGAGATGCCTCCCCGTAGTAGGAACGGGAGGGGGGCTCCTGGATCGGGAAGGTACGTACTTCCCCAGCATAGTAGCCGCCCCCACGCCTTGGACTGGGTCTGGGGGCTTCTTCGGCCAAATAGGGCCTGGAGCAGTAGCCATCAAAGGGAAGACCTGGGCTTGTGGTAAAACTGCCTGTGTAGCCCTCAGGTTCCTCGGTGTAGAAAAATTGGGTGGGACCTGGGGGTGTTGCAAAGGGTTGACTGCGGTGCTCCAAATAGTCCCGGGACCCAGGCAACGGCCCGTCGCAGTACACTGCTCTGGGGTCAGTACAGTACAAGTCACTAGGGGTGGGAGTGCGTGACAGGGCCACATGGCGGGGGCCTGGAATTGTGAGGCCATGGAACTGTGGGACGGTGCGAGCCCAGGGCGCCCCCTCGCTGGGCGCGCAAGATCGCGAGCTTCGGGCGGCGTGCTGCAGCACTGCCTCGTCAGGCTTGATGTCCAAACGGCAGCGGACATGGGGGACGGGTCCTGTGGGTGGTTCGGGTGGTGCACAGCGGCCTGGGGTGGCGCATAGAGGTGCGATGCGTCCGGGGCCGCCACGCTGTGGCTGGAGCTTGATGGGGTGTAGCTCATTGGCGAGAGCCCGTAGTGCAGGGTACGAGGGCTCCTTGTGCGGCGACCCCTCCAACCGCACCGAACGCTGGGCCTCCCGGCCTCTGCGCTGCAGTACTGGCGGTGAAGCCGGAGCAGGCGCCAGGCCATGGGGCCCACGGGGCGCGCTCTTGGAACGAGTGCGGCGCCGAGGCTCGCTGTCTCGGGGCCGGGCACGCGGTGGCGCGGGCTCGGGAGGTGGCGGCTCTGGGTGTGTCTCCATGGTGGGCTCGTCCAGTGCCTCTAAGAAGTCGAAACTACGGCAGTGGCGCTTGTTGAAAGGCGCGGGCGCAGCTGGCCGGGGCACGGATCGCTCACATGGCTGGCTTTTGGACGTGAGCCCTGGGGCCACCACCTTGATGTCCTGGTACACGGTCGACACAAGCAAGTCCGGCGGGTCCGTGCGGGTCATCTTAAAAGACGTCCCCAGGCTAGCAGCTCCAGTCACTCGGCCTTTCGGGGATTTTGCCCTGGGAGGAAATACCGGTCAGGGCAGCCTCCTCTGCACCCCAGACCCTTTACCCCCACCCCACCCCACGTGCTGGGCCGGCTTACCTGGGGCATAAGGGATGGAGCAGCCCTGGCTGCAGGTCTTGGTCAGGGCTTCTGGTGCTGGCTCCATACCCATATTAGAAGTACTTGCAGGAGAAACCTCGCAGGCCATTCAGCCTGTGGAGCAGATATGCCATGAATTTAGTTTACAGTGAACCCACCGTTGTCCGCGCAGCGGGAACTCCCGAGTCTCTCCCTATATTAGAGTCGGCTAGCTAGGCTTGGGTACATCAATGGGGGAATGTGTGACAGTATTACTGCCCTCTGGTGCCTACAGCTGGAATGATGGGCTTTTAGATTTCCTTAAGCCCCCTCCCACCAGCACTGCAGAGATACCCCTCTGATAGTGCAGAGTCCCAGGTGAGACAGTGGGTCTCTTCTCCTAGCACTGGAAGTGATCTTGCACTTGGGACAGTTCTTTTTACCTAAGCCTGTGTCCCCTCAACTTAATGAGGTCCTAGGCAGAAGAATAACCCCAAAGAGTTTTTCTTGGATCTCAAATATCTTTTCCTTTTGCATAAATCTCTGATGCCAATTCCTTGGATGAAACCCACCAAGCTTGTTAGGGCAGAGAAGGCTGCAGAGCGAGCCCCTCCTGTTTTGCATAATTGCAATGACCCCCTCCCCACCCCTAGTGGGTGCTTGGCATCCCTGAAGCCAGGTCTAGGCTGCAGAACCACGTGGGGGCCATGTGAGCCACAAGCTCATAGTGTCATTTCCCTGAGCTGCAAACTACCACTAGTGTACCAAAGGAAGGAGGCTGCCAGCTAGGAGGAGGCAGAGGAGAGGGTGGGAAAGCAGAGGAAAGGAGGGGGGGAGTCCCTCCCCAGGACAGAGTCCTCCCCACTCTGGCTTTGGAAAGCTCCATGGAAACGTGTGGTTGTTCATCCCTGGAGCTATGGACTGGAAAGGATCTAGGCTAATGTTCAGATGTGGGCCACCAGTGTTTGTGGTCCCTAGGGCCTGGAACTGGCTGGAGAAAGAGGGTTTCAGAAGGTGATGACACCCCCTCCCCCCATAAGGCACCTACTCGCAGGACATCTGCTCCAGAGTAAGCTGAGAGTGTGTTGGGGCCTGGCAAGACTTGTATGTGGATGGGCCTTTCAGGGTCAATCTCTAGTCCCAGGTATATAAGGGGCTTTCTGATAGAGGGGCTGCTTTTTTGGAGCCAGGGCTCATTAAGTACCAAGGCTAGTTCCAAACTCAGGTTCATGCCGACCCTATTCGGACCCCTTTCATTCTAAACTCCATGCCAGGTCAGAGTTTGGGCTAGATGACAGGGTCTGAGGCTCCGCCCCAGGAAGGTGACAGCACGCTTTGCTGGCTGCAGCTGTCAGGAGCTGGGCGCTGTGATACCGGCTCCCTGTGGGATGGGGGTAGGGTCTGCTTTTGTATCCTAGGTATTTTGAAGACCCTTCCCACACAGCAACCCTTTCCTGGCCTGTCCCGGAGCAGCCATCGCTAGGACCTAGTCTGCGTTGCTTGGGGGCGGGGACTCATCCTTCCGTGCAGCCCCCTCCCGTGCCAACAGCTCCACATGCTGGACGGTTTGGCTTGACCTCTTACCTGGTTATTTCTCCATGAGCTGAGCCCAGGTAGGCTGCATAACCCAAATCGGTTCCGGTGTGTACCTGACCCGGCTATGTAGCCGGTACCGGCAGAAGCTTGGAGGCAGCAGCTCTGATCCTGGCCTGGCTGCTCAGTGCTGCCCCCAGTGGTAATCAGTAGGGTGGTACTTAAAGGGGCCGTGCTGGAAGGGAGCGGTCTAGTGTGGTCCAGATGCGAGTGATCTCCCTAGCTCTCATTTGGGCTATGTAGAGTGAAGGGTCACGAATGGCAGCATCCTCAAAGCACAAGTCTTTGGGTCTGAACATGGGTTCCTTGCACTAAGAAAAGCTTGCCAGTAGGACTCCAGACAGGGGCTTACAAGGAGCCTGAAATCTCGGCTTGGCAGCAGAGAATCTGGGTTTGGGGTGATTCCAGAATGAACGTCTGTGGTTGGACCCAGGTGGGAGCAGATGAGCCCTATTGGCCTCTCACCAGGAATTATCCTCTTTGGCTCTGAAGACGCCAAAATCTCAGCAGGTATCTGGGAGCCATATGGCTTGCTCAGCCTCAAGTGTAGCTGCAACCTTCTGTGTCCAGGACAGCCTGGGCTGCCACTGCCTGCTTCCTTTGGGGAAAGGTCTTCATGTGGTCCGTTCCTCATTCTAACCCTGCCTGTCCCTTGCCGGAGGCCCTGGGCTTTCTAGCATTCTACCTTGGTAGATGATGGGCAGAGGACGTCAGGTCTGAGTTGACACCTGCATTGAAAAGGGCGCCAGAACTGACAAGATCTCGGTGCTAGGACTCTTTGTAGACCATTTCTCCACACCAGGGGTCCAAAAGTTGGGGGTAAAAGGGCCAGGTAATGCTTGCCCCATAGCGCCTACCAATTGTCTTGTGTATACAGCCCCTTAGCAGAAAAGTAAGGGAATTCCCCCTCCCAGGCCCGGGAAAGCACTCAGCCTTGCCCCCACCCCAGTAGGCGGAGCGTACTGCTCCGCCTCCAACGTCACTAACAGTGCTAAACGCCAGCCAGCCTCTGGAGGGTTCTCATGGCAACGTGTCCGCAGTGGGCGAGGGTGGAGAGCTGCCAGCGGGGGCAGAATACTGGGTTGCAGGCGCCCCCAGGAGCTGGCAGGGAAGTGGAGCAGAGTGGGATACACCGCCTTCCTAGGGCCCGAGTTTCCCAGGTATTTTCCCTGCAGTAACCCTGCATCAGGTTGTGGGGTAAACCCTTTGCGCTGGCCAGGCAGGTCCTCCGGCTGACATGCTATGGCTAAGCATTACAAAGTCCAGACCACTTTGGGGTTAGCATTGTGGAGCGGTCCCCTTAGAGCGGCTACCTCTCCAAAACTGCTCTTCAGGTTGATGCCAGGGATCTGGCCCATAGATAGGGTGGTTTCATCTTTAACACCTTAGGGAACCAGAAAACAGCCACACACAACAGTAAAATCGGAGAGCTTTATAGTCTGGGCGGAGTGTCTAAGAAGGCGCCCTCTAGGCTCACCTGCGCAGGCGCTCAATGGGTAGAGGCACAGCTGGCACACAGTGGCAAGCTGTTAGTGCCTCTCCCACAGGAGAGGTGGTACATTGTGTTCTCTTGCCAGCCTTAACCAGTGCGGGGTCTGGGCCACTTTGCCGTAGCAGATGCTGCCACACCCTCCCGAGTACACATCTGTGCTCAGGGTACGACCCTGCTCTACTCTGGATCCATGGGGAAGAAGGTCCACAACCCAAGCCATGCTATGGCCCTGGGAGAGCTCAGGAAGGCAAGCAGGAAGTGGGGCTGGGTGGTGGACATTTGAGAAGCCAAGCAGTCCCACACCCTGCCTCTGTAAACAGACCCTGGTGGGTCCCTTCTCGGCCCCAGGCACATCCCTGAGAAACACCGGGGACTGGCTGCAGCTCTATCTGGGGAGGGCCAGGTGGTCCACCAAGCCAGCTGCAACTCTGTTCTGTCCCCTCCCTCCCTGCAGAGCAGGCTTCTACTGGGTTGAGGCCAGCACCTGCAGCGCCTGGCCCAAGGCCTGACCACCACCAAGGTCTTCAGCACAAAATTAATGTAGAGTGGGCCAGACCAAATGAGGGCAGACACAATGGCTGGGGAACACAGGTGGCAGGGTGGTCCTGGGAATGTGGGTGCATAGGCAGCAGCCTCCCCCAGTCAGTCACTCGCAGTTCCCCTCTTCCCAGGAAAACCAACTGCCTCTGGCAGCCTAGAGCTCCTCATAGTCTCCACCTCCAGGGTGGCGGCTGCCAGGAGCCCCGCCCCCCAGGAAGGCTTCCAGCTCATCTGCAGCCTTCTGTTCCTTGCTCCGAGGGGGCTTCCTCTTCTTCCTCCGATCCTCCTTGCCTTCCTCCTTATCCTTGTTCTTCTTGTGTTTGCTTTTCTTTTTTGTAGCCTTTTCTTCTTCCTGAAGGTTATGAAGAGCAGATCTAGAGTCAATGGGCAACCCACAAGGCTACATCCCACCTTCCAGCACCCAGACTGTCCTGGCTAGCTGTGAGACCAGTGGTGGGCAGGGCATGTACCTCTTTGCCTTTCTTCTTCTTTTTCTTCTTCTCTTTAGAGGGAAGTTTGCCGTCTTTATCTGCACAAGAAAGACAGCTGAGCTCCTACCTACAACCACTCTGCATGGTCAGGCAGAGGCTGCTGCAGATACCCCATTCCCAACACAGCCTGGTCCCACTGGCAGTCTAGGTGCATTTTGTGCTGGTGAGCCTTGAACCGGCCTGGGATGAAATTTTTTCCCTTCCTTTTGGGGCTGAGCTGGTTCAAGCCTGCCCTTAGGCTGTAGTTTCAAGCACATCTGCTAGGCAGCTATTTTTTTTTTTTCTTTTCAAACTAATTCTGCCCCAAAGGCCTGGGACACCTGAAAGCCTGGAATGTTGGCAGAGCAGCTGGCACAGAGGACCCAAAAGGAACCACGAACAGGGTGACAGTCTTGGATGGCAATTCTGGGTCACAATGCAGATGGTAGGTTTGGACACATGTTTGCCTGGTGTGACACTGTTCCTCCTATTCTATAGAATCTCATAGCTAATAGCTATGATAAAGAAAAACCATAGGCAGGCTAGGATTTCTTATCACAGGTCCCTGGAGGAGGGATCACAGGATGAGGACCTCCAAGTCCTATCAGGTTCCAAGGAGACAGACAAGCTCCAGGCCATCCTACCTTCATCACTGCTTTCCTTAGGTCCTGTGTCCTCCAGGCCCAGACCAAAGAGATCTGAGTCATTCTTCAGTCTGAAAGCAGAGACTGGGGGTTTGGAGGGTGGGGGTGGTTGGACAGAGCCAGTGTCCTCATCGGTCACATCAGAGAGGTCTTCTCTTACTGGGAATCCCCCCTGTAAAGAGAGTAGCTGGTAGGCCTATTGTTTCTGACTACTGCCATGGACCTTTGGAAGCAAGGTAGCAAGTCCCTTTGGGAATCCAGGGGCTGGGGTTGGGTAGAATGGAAGGGGTTAACCTGACCCAGACTTAGAAAGATCAGTAGGGCCTTCATATGCACAATGGACCCCTCCCAAAGACTCCTGTCTACTTTCTCCAGCAGGAAAGTGTCTCTGGGGCACTGGAGCCAGGAGCACTCTCCTCTCTTCAGACCTTGCTCTGAGAAACAACCCTTTTTCTTTCGAGACAGTTTTTCCTCTGTGTATCTCTATAGACCAGGCTGGCTTTGAACTCAGAGATCTGCCTGCCTCTGCCTCCCTGAGTGCTGGGACTAAAGGTGTGTGCCACCACTGCCCGGCTGAAACAGACCTTCTTGACTGTCCTCTATCTCTGTAAGAATGGGGATTCTCAGCTTCTCAGCCAGCAGCCTGTACTTACCACTCTCCTCTGTGTGTCTGATTCATCACTTTCAAAGTCAGGGTCATCCATGACGAAGGACAGCATCTGGGCAGCAATGGGACCCTCAGGATCACTTTCTGACGACACTTGCTTGTCTTTCCCTTCCTGGGGTCTGTGAGTGCCATCAGTGGGTGGCTTGGTACTGCTGTGGTCAGGCCCTGAGCCAGTGGTTAGACCATCTGACCATGAGGGTATGGCTCGTGTGGGAGCTCCCTTCTTTCGTGAATGTGAGGCCTTGGTGGAGGACCTTCACATAAGAAGAAATGTCTGAGTTCTGAGGCCACTCTAGGTTGCCACTGCCTCAGCTAGCCATACCCTGGGGACCCCATCCCATACCATTTTGTCTCAGGCTCTGAGCATTGCTGAGGAGTCACTCCAGGGTGGCCTGCCGGTCCTTCAGCTTCCTCCTCACTGGAAAGACTGATATTCTTACTGGGGACGGGGTCTGAGGACAGCATGGATTTGCTATGCGGCTGATCTTCTATGTCCACGTCATCCTGGAAACCTGCCACCATTGGGTTCCCTCCGATGGCTTCCCCATCGTCACTGCAAAGAGGAGGAAGTCAAGTTCTGAGGGGGATGGGGGTATGTGCTGTTGTTGATTTCCTCACCCATTGCCTTAGAGCTGCCCTGTCTGTAGTACCATATTCTAGTGGCAAGACCTTCTGGGCTATCACAGGGGCTGCTGAGTCTAGGTAGGAGTAAGAGTAAGGGCAACACTGCCTTGTTGCTAGCCAATGGGGTAATCAGTAGGAGAAGAGCCCAGTTAGAAGCCTCGAATCTGTTTCTGGAAGGGAAACCCTTGGCCCCATTGTACACGGTGATGCTGGAGACGCTAACAGTCATTCAACATTTGATTTACTAGAGGGAATGATCTCAGAGCTCAGTTGTAGACAGATTTTAGGTTGTTGTTAAGAAAAGACAGGGTTGTGGGAAAGGCTAGCTGTAGAAAGTCAAACCTGGCCAAGGCCTGTTTGTCTGGTTCCATATGGAGAGATCCAGGCGGCCTTCACTATTCCTTACACAGACTGGGCTAGCATGTATTCAGAGTGCTCCGTCTTTGTTAGACCATCTGCGAAGGTTCCTGCTGTCCTAGGAAGATTCTAGCTCAGTGTTCTCTAGTTCACTGTAGGCATAAACTGCCCCACCCACGGTGGTAGTGATTAGTCTAAGTAGGCCTTCGACACATGGCCTGAGCCCTTCCTTCCCTCAGTTTTTGTTTTCAACGCTCACTGCCAATCCAGCAAGCACATGAAAGGTTGTGCTCACAATCCCAGTGGTGTCTTGGGAGATTCAGGTGTGAATGGGATGGGGAAGCTTGCCCTTGAGGTGGACCCTGTGCTCAGCTCTGCCAATCTGTCCTTACCTGTCACTGTCCTGCTGTGGGCCTTTGGCTCCAATTTTATTCTTGTCTTTAGGTAGGGTTGTATCTTCCAGGAAGCTTCGGTCAAGGCCATCTTCAGGAACAAAATCCTCAACATTCTGGACTCTTGCTGGGACCTCTAGAGCTGGAGCTGGCTCTGTGGAGAAATGATGTTTCTTCCTCATGTGGTCCCTGCCCCCATGTTAGGAACCAAAACTGAGCCTATAGGGCTGGGACTTGACAGTTCATGCACCCTGGTTCAAGGCCAGAGGTTACTTTAGAACCTGGCCAAGTAGTGGCTGGCCCAAGAGGGAAAAGCTTGTCAGGGGCACAGGGACCACATTCTAGTCTCTTGAGGGATATGAGGCTCAAGATGCCAGAAGATAGCCCAAAATACACTTGGAGGGCTGCTCCCAGGCCTACCTGGAGGTGAAGGGGTCACGTCAGCAGCTGGTGAGGTCCCAAACAGCCGAGAGATGATACTGCGACGCTGGGCTGGAGCTGGAGCTGAAGGGTGTACAGAGGAGGGCGTGGCCTCCAAAGGGGGTACAGGAGATGGTGCTTGGGGACAGGTGGAGGAGACACTGAGGGACAGCTGGGGGGCAGGTTGGGGAGTGCTGGGGCTGGAGCTCCCTGTGGATACAGCACTTGGAGGCACAACTGGCGACTGGGAGCCTGAGGATGG